TCTTGCTTCGTAGCCCCTCGATCGACAGATCTGAGGTATAACGAACAATTTTCTTCTTCTAATCGCACATATGAGGGAGCTTATGGGTTTTTTCGAATGTGATGTTTTCTCTTCTCATCTCCTTCCTATTTCTGCAATTTTTTGTTTATTCTTCTAAAGATGCGGTGGATCTGTACATTAGCGCATGGAACCTGTTTGGTTTTTTACCGGTTGCTTCACTAGGGTTTTGCATTTGCTTTCCCTTCTCGTTTGAGTCATTCTTGTTTGTTGGATGCTGGCTCAAGAATGGAATAAGGTAGTGGTTGATTCACTGATGTAGTGGTTGTTGTTCATGCCTTTTCTTTCCCTTCTCGGTGGATCTGTACATTAGGTAGTGGTTAGAAAATTTTTTCACTGATGTAGCGGGCCGTGATATTTTCCCTTCTCGGTGTTTTGCTCTGAGACACATTTGTGGAAGTTATGAAAGACACTGACTTTTAATTCTCTGCCATGTTCATGAAACGTTATGAAAGACACATTTGTTTGCAATTGGTACCAGGTTAACATGGGCATTTCCTTGCAATAAACTTCCCTGCCATGGATAGTGCATGAACAAGAAACGGATCCTTTTCTAAGCTTAGAAAATTTTTAGCAATTGTTTCAAAGTAAAACATTGACCCTGTCTTTTACTGGTTAAAAGAATGGAATGTATATTTTTTTAGCTATGAAACATAAGAGTGATACTGATTAGGGCATAAGAATTGAGTGGCATGCATGAAAATTTTCCTTCCTTTTTAAATATGTTGGAGCATAGGCCAAATGGTGAAACGGATTGGGCCATAGTCTAGTTAAAACATAGCTGTTAAATATTGCTGTTGGGTTTTCTAATTCTGTGGTGGTTTTAAATATGTTGGATCCTTTTATATATTGTATACATGATGTAAATTGAGCATATGTACAACAGAGGAGTCCTTGTTGATATGCTTCAAAAATTTCAGCTACTATTTCAATAAAATATTGCATTCGTTTCCTGTGGACGTAGGTCAGTTGACCGAACCACGTAAATTCTTGCGTTCCCTTATCTTTACATCTCTTGTTTGGTTTATTGCTTGAAACTCGTTTATATTTATGCTTTCATTTATTTAGCAATGTTTAAATTTGTTATATTAATTCATCTTGTGGGTTATTTTTTTGGAGATATTATTAGCATGGTTAATAAAAACAAAAAGGTTGCCACTCCTGCACTTTGGGAGAAGGACACCAAATTAATATTCTGTGACCTATGCATATGTGAAATTGATAAAGGAAATAGGCCAACGACATTTTTCAATAAGGAAGGTTGGGATAACATCATTAGCAAATTCAAGAAGATGACAGGTATGGAATATGATAGGCTCCAATTGAAGAATAAATGGGATCAGCTTAAGAAAGATTGGAAACTGTGGAATGATTTGAAGCGTGGCTCCACTGGATTAGGATGGGATCCAGTGAATAGAACAATTGAGGCTTCCGAGGATTGGTGGCAAGAACGGCTTGCGGTAAGATCTTATTGAGTCATTCTTTTTAATTTTAATAAGTTCTGTTTTTTATTTCTAATAACCATTCATTCTCTTTTGCAGATTGTTCCTGCGGCAAAGAAGTTCAGATTGGCTGGGATTGAACCAGAATTGGAGGGCAAGTTACAGATGATGTTGGGTGGGGTGATAGCTACAGGGAAATATTCAGTTGTCCCTAACCAAACAGTTTTTGAAAC